ATTCTCCACTATGACATATCAAAACTATTATTCCAAAACTACTTATCTCAATCTTTTCTTAAGAGGGAGCTAATATTGAGCTCATAAATTCAAGATCTGCCAGAGCAAGAGACCTTATCTCTAAAAATAGCTGGGCACTGTAGTAGGCACTTGTAGTAGCCCCAGCTACTTTGGAGTCTGAGGCAAGGGGATTGCTTGAGCCCAAGAGTTTGAGGTTGTTGTAAGCTACCAAGCCACGGCACTGTACCAAGGCTGACAAAGTAAGACTCTGTCTCAAAAAAAAAAAAAAAAAAGAGAGAAAGAACAAAAAGCCAGAAAGATTGAACAGAATATTCCCTTCCAAAGTATCACCCTATATACCCCACTTAATTAAGAGATGATTCAGGTGGCACCTGTAGCTCAGTAGGTAGGGCACTGGACACATACTCCAAGGCCAGTGGTTTGAACCTGGCCCAAGCCAGCTGAAACAACAATGACTACTGCAACAAAAAAATAGCCGGGTGTTGTGACGGGTGCTTGTAGTCCCAGCTACTGGGGAGGCTGAGACAAGAGAATCACTTAAGCCCAGGAGTTTGAGGTTGCTGTGAGCTATGACACCACTGCACTCTACCGGGGGTAACGAAGTGAGACTCTGTCTCAAAAAAGAAAGAGATGATTCAGGTACCTTTACAATAAAGAGTTATGATACACTACTATTTTTGTCAAATGATCAAACTTAGCATTATCAATTAATGGCTGGGCACAGATTATAGGCTTAAGCCCATAATCCTAGCATTCTGGGAGGCAAAGGAGGGTGGATTGCTTGAGCTCAAGAGTTCAAGACCAGCCTGAACAAGAACAAGACCTGGTATCTACTAAAAAAAAAAAAAAAAAATTAGAAAAACTAGCTGGACATTGTGGTGGGAGCTTGTAGTCCCAGCTACTCTGAGGCTGAGGCAAGAGGACTGCTCAAGACCAAGAGTTTGAGGTTGCTGTGAGCTATGACACCATGCACTCGACCCAAGGGGACAGAGTGAGACACTGTCTCAGAGAAAAAAAAATACAAACTGACCTTCAATGTCTCTTGATATGACACACTGATAATATGGCTTTACCTATAAGTGGGCATCATTCTGACCAAAATGTTTAATCTGAATCTAATCATGAAGTGAATCAGATGAACCTAGATTGAAAACATTCTATGGAAACAATTGGCATGGATTCTCCAAAAATGTCACTCTTAAGCCCAGTACTCTGGGAGGCCAGAAGATCACTTTATAGCAGGAATTTGAGACTAGCCTGGGCAGTATAATATGACCCCATCTGTATAAGAAATAAGAAAAATCAGCCAGGTATGCCTATATGTGGCTGAGGCTGAGGCAGAAGAAGAGGAACTCACTTGAGCCCAAGAGTTCCAGGCTGCAGTGGGCTATGATTGTCCACTGAACTCCAGCCTGGGTGACAGAACGAGACTCTGTCTTCTTTTTTTTTTTTTTTTGAGTCTTGCTCTGTTGCATGGGCTGGAGTGCCAGGGCCTTAGCCTAATTCACAGCAATCTCAAACTCCTAGGCTAAAACAATCCTCCTGCCTTAGCCTCCTGTGTAGCTGAGACTACAGGCCTGTGCCACCATGCCTAGCTAACTATTCTATTGTTAGTAGTGACAGGGTCTTGCTTTGCTCAGGCTGGACCTCAGCTCCGGACCTCAAGTGATCCTCCAGACTCAACCTCCTGGAGTGCTATAATTAAAAGCATGAGCTGGCTCAGCGCCTATAGCTCAACTGGCTAAGGCGCCAGCCACGTACACCTAAGGTGGTGGGTTCGAATCCCCAGCCCGGACCCGCCAAACAACAA